TCCTTACTGATATATTTTGTAACTAGATGGTTCAAGACAAAGCAGTTATCAATAGTAGATCATCTCTGTCTAAAGCTGGCTTGTTCTTCTGTGAGATACGCTTTTCATCTACCCAACTCTCGACTCTACTCAGAAGGAACCTAGCATATATTTTAGCCACAATAACTATTAGGCTAATGGGCCTGTAATTGCTAGGGTCCTTTTTATTCCCTTTTTTATATATAGGAACTACTATTGCCAACTTCCACCCAGCTGGGATATGGTAGGTATTATTTATATGTGTAAATAAACCTGCCAATAGAGGGCCCCACCAGTTGGGATATTTTTTGAATAGCTTCTGGTGGCCAAAGAGGTGAGGCTTCAGTAAGTGATAAATCACTACTTGGATTCTTGTTTCTCAACAGGTTCTGATAGAACAAACAGGTAATGGTAGTAGTTTTCCCATTCCTTGGCAGAGATTGGTATATTGAATGCAAATCTCCATTCTTTCAGGATTCCAGCTACAGAATGCCAAAATATAGCCAAGTTATGACAGCTCAAGTCCAGACCAAATTGAGTTAATCTGATAGAGAAATAGATTATAGCATTCAAATCAGATGATCCAATTGTCTCCTACAACACCATTCTTTCTAGAGATTTCAGGACAATTTTAGAACATTCTTCATGATCTTAGAATTAGCTAATGGTTTTGGTGTTATATTTCAAGAAATCAAGGGTGGTTCAGATAGTTTTATCTTCAGTTTTATCTGCCCACTCAGATAACCTGGCTCTATGCCATTTTGGACTTTATAAGTGATAACCAGCACCTTGAACTGCACATTTGGGAGCTCTTCACCCCCTATAAGGTTACAAACAGATATCTCTTCTTCCCATAACCCATCCCTTATCTATAAGCAAATCCATAAGTCATCAACTTTTCAATCCTGGTGTCAGCAAAAAGTCCATAAAGGGTTGCCAGAATTTCATAGAAACTTATCTTATTTTAACTTTGATCAAATAAATCAACTTTATATTCCTTCCTTTTACCTCTGAAAATTTTAATCTTTAGTTCGTTCAAATTTTGTCATAGGATTTGACAAGACCAAAGACACTGCCCCCTCCCTGAAATAGCCAACTCCACAACATGGACCCAACTGCAGGTCACCTCCTGATGGTATTAACAACCTGGGAGGGACCTGGATGTAAACATTTTGGAGAATCCTGTCCACTTCCTCAAAAGTCACCAGCTCAAACTCATCTCAGATCATACCAGTGCCTGATCACTCCAGGCACTTCAACCAGACTTGCCCAGTTGGAGTCCAACTCCGTGGATCTGCATGACTATCTGCCAGACAGATAGAATATTCCTCACAGCAGCCCTGTGGATGATCCTGTGGCCCATCCTTCCCCAACAGGAAACATGTCACCTAAACAGGGCTGCTGGATGACTATCGGCAGACACAATAAGGTTGGAGAAATATTGACATTTCACTGTTTTTATCATGAGTAATCCAGAATATGGGTTATGTTATGAGCATACCATTATATTTTAGCCAAGGAAGTGCAAAGTTATGCAGATAATAGCAAGCTTGATGGCTACTGTTTGCACAGAGGAGAAACCTTGCCTTACTGCAGGAAACTAGCCTCACAACAGGTAAGTGCTTGCCTTCATTTGAAAAAGAAAGCTATGGAAGAGGTCTGTCCTAAAGTATGCAAGAGAAAAATACTTTTTCCATGGGGGGAGTAAAGTAATTGAGAAACGCTAATGGTGGGAACATGAGTTACATGCCTATCAATTTTAAAAATGGTCCCTGTATCTCTCTAGAGAAACAGAGAGAAACTATATCTCTCACAATAGTTTAAATGCAGGAATCATCAACCAAAGCTTTTTACGGTAAGAGGATAAAATGGTACATTCATCCCTACAAATCAAGTTATTCTGAAATGCAAACTGAAATAGCTGAGTGGAAAACAGGCAATATTAACACTGCAGTGCTGTGTTTGTTCTCAGTGTTTGCAACTGGGTGAAACTACTATGCAGTTTGACCCATTGGGTGTTGTTGTTATTTATTTAATTTTGCCAAAGTGGCTTTTTGTAATACTAGCCACAGATATTGATAACTCACATCTATCAGATGGGAAGAAGCAAGGCCTACTCTGGTCCGTAATGCTAATGTACTGGAGATAAGAGTTTGCTAATGTGAGACTGCACCACTACAACTGGTGACATGTACCACTGGGAAGTAGATTTCTGGAGATCCAACACAGTGCAAGAAATACTGTTTGCCCCAGTAAAGTATTATTCATTAAAAAAAAAACAGTTATGCTTGGTATCAGCCAACCTAGCCAATCTTAGATTGCTCGGTACTCCTGTTGAATAGTCTATCTTTGATTAAACAAGTTCCCTGAAGAGTGTCTTCATAACTTGTACTTCCTTTCCTTGGGGAACCACCATGAGGATGAATTATCATCATCTCATTACAACACGGGTCCTATTTATGCCATTGCCTGGTCACCTCTGCTTCAGGAAGGAAAATGCTACACTGCAAGGACTTTGTTCTTAGGTGAGTGATTATAGAATGAGAATCATCCCCACCAAAGAGATCCATTTTTAGTGATGACATCAAGGCTTCCAGTTCCAGTAGAGATATGCTATAGTGTCCAATTATATTTTATGGGCAAAGGACAATATCTCCTTAGCGCTTTATTCAGCATTTCCCCCCTTTCCTTTGTGTTTGCATCTATAACAACATATAACTCTGCACATCTTGCTTTCACGCTCTTTGAACTCAGTGTACTCTCAGCATGTTGTATCTGAATGAAACATAGGACAACGCTGTTAAAAGCTTCTTCTGTCTGTCGTTGTTGTGGTTCTATTATCCACATCCAAACTGCCTTTTGGCAAGCTGGGAGATATATACAGGGCTGGTATACAGTGAAGGTGTTGGTGAGAAAGCAGCCAGGAGAAGGAGATTTTGAATTGGAAAAGGATTGCCATCCCTTTGCTCATAGTGTGGACACAGTGAGGAAATAGCCTGGGTGAGAATCACAGAATAAGAAGGGCTACTGCTCAGTGAAAAAGAACCCAATTGGCATATAGTATGCCCCAAAAGCAGTCCTTGACTTTCAACATAGGGAGAAAAATGTGCCTAAAAAGCATGTGTTTGGCTGCTGCCAGTCAGCGTACACAGTAATAGGTGAGAGGAATAAATGTTCTGCACAGAAGAAGCAGGTTGCTCTATTCCCCCAAAATAAGCCATTTCAGCCTAAATAGTTACCACTTCATAGGAAGAAGGAACTGTGTTATTGGCAAAAGAATTCTGAAATCACTTTTTCTGTAACATCCTTAACTGATCAGTCCTATTGCCAGGAATGTTTCTTTTAATGCCTGTTCCCCTATTTGGAGAGGACTCTCTTTTTATGGGGTAACACTCATATAAATAATTTGCCATTGTACATTCTCCCATCTATCTGAAAACAAACAAAACAAGTCCTAACGTATCAATGAGGTCCTCAGTCGCTCAGAAAAAGTGAAAGAAGAGAGTTGTATGCAGACCTTGGGATCATTTGAGGTGAGTGTTTATTTTTTTTCAGTTGCTGGAATGCAAATTAAAATAAGCTATATCTCTTCTACAAGGTAAATTACTTTGAATGAAGGTATTTAACAGTTGTAAATATATTTCTTCCTCTCAAGCTAGTCTATTATCTTTGGGTCTAGTTGAAATACAGGGTAGAGAAGTAGACAAGAACTTGGTCCTAAATGCCTGAGCTGCACGATGAACAAGGAGCAGAAGAACCAAACCAACTTTGCTGGATTCATCCTCCTGGGTTTCTCCTCCTCACCAGACTCCCAAGGATTTATCTTTCCCATCTTCCTCTGTATGTACCTGCTTTGTCTGCTAGGAAATCTCTTGATAATCTTGCTGATTTTCTCCAACACCAATCTCCTCCACACTCCCATGTATTTCTTCCTCTGTCACTTGTCATTGGCTGACCTTGGATTTAGTTCTGCTGCAGTGCCTAAAATGCTATACAACTTATTGACCCAGACAAAAACAATATCCTACAATGGTTGTCTGACACAGATGTATTTCTTTGTGAGTTTTGCTGCAACAGATAACTTTCTACTGGCCTCCATGGCATATGACCGCTATGTAGCCATCTGTCGCCCTTTGCATTATGCCAGAGTCATGAGCTTCAAGCGCTGCCTTCTGTTGGCTGCTGGATCTTGGCTCATGGCTCATTCCCACTCTTTGTTATACATTCTGTTGGTATCTGATTTTACTTTCTGTTCTTTCCGAGAAATCCCTCATTTTTTCTGTGACCTCCACCCTTTATTGAAAATCTCTTGTTCTGACACCTCCGTTGTTGATAAGCTTCTTGTCAGTGAAGGTATAGCAATTGTCCTTGGGCCTCTCCTACTCATTCTCTTCTCTTACATCTTCATTGTTCTGAAGGTGGTGAAGCTTCCATCTAGGTCCAAAAAGTACAAAGCCTTCTCTACTTGCAGTGCCCACCTCACCACTGTGGCTTTGTTCTATGGCACGGTGATAGGCACCTACCTCCGCCCATCATCTTCCTATTCTGTCTCAAGGTTGAGAGTGGCATCAATATTCTACACAGTAGTCACCCCTATGCTCAATCCTTTCATCTACAGCCTGAGGAACAGTGAGATACACGCAGCCATAAAGAGATTGGCAAGGAATTGGTTTTAGCAGTATCGGCATCCCGAGCCACAGGCAAACAAATAAGCACGGCTGTTAATGCAAAGTTGCCCCATGTTCTTTAGCATTTAGAGTATTCCAGCTCTTCTGTTATTCTCATGTCTGTAAAATCATATCAAAGTGCAGGCAAGCTCCCTTTTTATATTAGCTGTTTCTCAGCATAAAAAGGTGCCTGAAGATCTGTCAATAGCATTACAAGCCACACTATTCCATGTCGTAAAATTAAACAGTTAGTACATCTCTGGCTTTTGGATAGCTCATTGCCTGAAAGAGCTTCTGTAATGGCTTTTCACACTGGTGGTTCTCTCCAGGCTACCAGAGCTGTCGCTTTCATCACAAGGCAGAGTTTTGTAAGTTGTGTTTGCTCAAAGAAAGAGACCGTAACTGGGAATATTATGGCTGAAAGGTATGAAGTAACTTACATTTATTGTTGCTTTTAAGGAACTGATTCTTTTGAAAAGCTACAGCTAGGGATCTCAATGTGCTTAAAATACTTGGTGTGTGTGTGTGTGTGTGTTCAAGTGATTATTGACTCCTGATGACTGCGGTTTTCTTGGCAACATTTTTGGAAGTACTTTGTTATTGCCTTCTTCCTAGAGAGAGTCATCAGCCCAAGGTCACCCAGCTGCCTTTGTGCCTGACTAGAGCTCACAGTGTCCTGCTTTCTAGTCTGGTGCCTTCAACCACTACACCAAAATGACCCTCAAAGCACTTCTAAAGTCCCCGAATCTCCATTACTCTCTTCTTACAAAAATTGGCTGGAAATGTCCATTTTTATTACTGGGGAAATTAGAGAGTACAAATCCCTCTCTCTAGAGAGAGAGAACTATCCTGCGGTTCCTCTATAACTTTATCAAGTTGGCTCCATTTTGCTGATTAATTTGTTTGCTTTTATCTTGCCCTTAAACAAGTTTTTTTTAGTATGGCTGTTATGCATAAGTGTGAAATTTATGCTAGGTAACGAGCTTCAGTTCTAGGTTACAGGAGTCTGACATTCATCAGAGTGAATCACCAACTCCTCTTCTGCCAGTTTTCTGTCTTCCTGAATCATAGCACTTGCTTTCCTTGCTGTCCCTCAGATCCATCTCCTGGTGCCAAAGATTTGTGGGTGAAATCACAGGAACATTTGAAGGATATCTTTGATGTGATTACCATATATTTGGAATTAAGTCCCTGGATCTAAAATTGTCTGCCTTTTTCTAACTCATATTTTTGGGCCAGTTGTTCTCTTTCAGCCCAACTTACCTCACAGGGTTGTTGTGGGGAAAAACAGGAAAGTGGAGATTATCCATGTTGTCTTGAGTTCCTGCATGAAATGTATGATATAAATCAAACAAATAAATATATTTCCTTTCTTCAGCCATACAATACATCAGTAGAGTTGTTCCAAAAACAGCAGAAGCAGTAAATCATATCATTCAAATCAATAAGTGTAATATCAGTTGATCTTATTGTTTCTGTCATAATTAATAAAGGGGTGAAGGTATTCATAAAATCTGACCAGCTCCTCTGTCTTCCTTTCTTTACATGTATAGATTTCAAATCCTATGATATGTGTGTCTGCACAAGCAGTTTAAATTGCAATTTTCCCCAACCTTGTGTCTTCTGAATGGATTGGACTTCAAGTTCCATCATCCTCAGCCAGCATAAAGATTGACTCATATGTATTCATGCCAAGCTGGATTTTATAGCATGTTTCTGTGTAGGTAAGAGAAATGGTGCCCCCCATCCCTTCTCCAAAAGAGATAACGATAATTTTGCAGATCTAGGAAATCTTCCAAATAGGCAGAAACATTGCTAGTTTTGAAAATCTTATTTGACTTCCAGACTGGATGTTTCTACTAGATGGAAAATATTAAACTACAAGAAAATGTTACACTGAGCACTTCTACTCAGTTTCAGTCTTCTATTTCTTTCCATTCTCTCTTCAGGTATTTCCAATTTTTCTTCCTGAAAAGTTAATCAGTATTTACATCCAATGAGCATCGTCCTCATTGGGCTCCTCTGCAAAAGGAGGGAGTAATAAAGCCACTTGAATTTCACCACTGATTTCTAAGGGCAGTTCTCAGTTTCCTCCTTTTTTCGTTAACCATTTCTAGATGTTCTCTGGCTGATAGATCTTACTGTCCTGTTGTGACCACAAGGAAGCGCCTGGAAGAAGTTATGGAAGGCAGATGGATGCCTAATAGGTCAGACTTGCAGGACCCTGGACAGTTCCATATTTAGGCCCAACCCTAATTCCCAGCCTAAAGAGGGGAGGAGGACCCCAAAGCTATCTCATACTCTCCTGATAAGATATTGAAAAAAAACAAATGGCCTGTTGAATAAAGTAACTGGACTGCTTGTTTTAGAATTGGTACATATTTTCCATGTATATCATGAGTAGAAGAGACAGTAACATCTGTATACTACTAAAACTCTCATTGTGTTTATCTGTTTGTCTGTTTGTACTCTCAAGTTAGCCCAAGTGGTGCATTATACTGCAAAAGGTTTTGAATCAAGATACTTAAAATCTGCTAACTTAAAGAATGCATAAAAAATCCAGGACCCATTACTCCTGTGGAACTGAAATTTCCACGGTGTTCACACCAGTTTTATTCACAAAGTTGTGGCTGTTGCAGTGTCCCTGTGGTCACATGATTGTGATTTCTGACACTCCCTGCCAACTTCCCACAAGCAAAGTCAATGGGGAAGCTGGCAGGAAGTCGGAAGTCACTCCCACTGCCACCACCCATGGTCACTCTATCTATTTAGGTAAGTAAATATTGACTTATTATTGAAGTTCATTTCCCATTACAATTATTTTTATATTTATGATATATACCCTTCTTAGATGATCACAGGACTATCCAGCACTGAGGTAAAAAAAAAAAATTGTCAGCCTAAAATTTAATGTACATTCTGGTCACATCAGACTACACTACCTTTCTCTGAAAGGATGACCCAACAGGTCACAGGGTTGCCTAGTATAGCACCTTTTCAGATCCACATGCTTTATGAAAAAACATAAGCGTTCGTGAACTACAGCTCATTTCATCAGATGAATGGAGTGGCAAGACTGATGTGGGATTTCAAGTGGGATGATGCGGGGGGGGGGGGGGGGGAGAGGGAAAGCCAAGTGGTTATGCAGATATACAATAGATGTGAGACAGATTCCAAGTACCTTATCAATTAACAATTGCAATGTGTCAAAACCCCATCGTATTTGTTAAGACTTCCGGAGATGGCCTGAAATCTTTTGATATAGGGGATAAGGAAGAGATCATGCATGTCTCAGTCCCTGTCACCATCACCATGGCACAGGCATAGCCAGAGGATCAAGAAGGGCAAATGAAGGCACATGCATCATGAAATCATCATTCAGATGATGCAGCTTACCTGCTGGCATCAAATGTTGTGACATCATACCATTTGTGCAATGAGCTCTTGATGTCATTATGGTTTGCTAGGCATGGTGGAGGGGAGAGGATAATGGTAGAGGTTTCTTGGGTGCCATCCAAACATTCATCAGCTACTCTCTAGTAACAAAATGGAGGATAATCACCTAGTTCTAGCAGTAACAATTAAACAGTTATCAGGATAAGAAAACTGTAGGAAGTGCCTGACTATCCAATGCCCATCTGACTAAGGTGCTAAATTGACCTGAACTCCTGGTTTTTGTCTAAGGTCCTGTCATATTCTAGAAATCCACCACTGATACTATAATCCATGGCATTTGCCAAGCATTTAGCAATGCCCAGTCATTCTACCATCAGTGGCAGCTGGTGAAGTTGCTAGGGCCAATTAGGTGCCTTTATATTCTAGAAATCCACCACTGATACTATAATCCATGGCATTTGCCAAGCATTTAGCAATGCCCAGTCATTCTACCATCAGTGGCAGCTGGTGAAGTTGATAGGGCCAATTAGGTGCCTTTTTTCATGCATTTACAACACATATCCTTTGTGCATGTCGGGAAGGGGGAGGATACGTAATTTCAAACCATCGGTGTATGCCAGTGAGAAGTCCTTAAAAATTCAAAGGGTGATAGTGAAGCATCTGCATTAACATAGTACACAGATCCTGACATCACTTGACTTCATTGCCCCTGGACTCCTTTTATCGTGGCTCAAGAAATCGTACTTATTGTACAATTATACTTCTGACACTCTGAAATGCAATATAAATATTAATTTTCACCATACTAACACCAGTTCCCATATTTCTCAAAGATAAAGTCTCTCGTATGGCACATACAATTATAAAAGTATAGACATTCCACAAGCTATAATTTTATCTTTCTGCAGTCATTCTTTGAAGATATGACTATGCAGCAGCCTCTCTTACAGCTGCTCCTAAACTTCATAGCAGGCTAATCTTCATTTCTATAGCAATTTTGCCTGGCATTCTTTCTGATGGGCAAACTTTTCTGTTGCCTTTTGATTAAAATTGACCATGTGCTGTATCATTTATTTTTCCAACAACAACATTGCCAAAGTGTTGTTTATCTTGGACAATCACTTCCTAGCTTGATAATAAAAAAACCTTACCCTGGAGGTAAGTATGCTAGAAGGTTTTGATTGGGCTTTCTGTTATAGGGGCTCAGCAGGATGGAGATTCAGGTGATGGTTATGTAAAGCTTCCCTGTTATCAGTGAAGAAACCTGCCTCTTTGCTGGATTATAGAAAGGCTATTAGAAAGAAAATCAGAAAGTGTCTACCCTAACGTACATGGTGATATATTGATTCTAAACTGGTAACATTTTAGTTGCTGGAATTCTTGTAACTGTTTCCCATTCATCTCAATAAATCTTGCTAAAGAGAACTCTGTAGAAATTGAATTCCATTTACCTGAGCTAGACCCTCCTGCTCAGCCTGAAAACAGCAAAACAAAGGGAAGGGAATAAACTTTAGAATTGCTTCTTCTTCCCAGAATTTCAGCTTGTCTGTCTATGTGGCCCAGCACTCATAATAGAAAGTTGACCAATCACAAAGAAATTGGAGAAATATCTGATGGGCTGGCTCTGATCTCAGTTACCTTCTGTCCAGGTGCTTCAATTGTTTTTTCAGGAAAAAAATGACTGATTCTTTGCCAGTCCAGCAGTTGCAGTGGGACATTTCTGCTTGCATATAAAGCAGCCAGTTTGGCCCTCCCTGTATTGAAAAAACTGGAACAAGGAAACTTAGCCTTTCCCTTCTTCTCCAACCAAGAGCTAGAGCAGTGTTTCTCAGCCTTGTTAACTTTAAGATGTGTAGACCAACATGGCTGGCTGGAGAATTCTGGGAGTTGAAGTCCACACATCTTAAAGTTGCCAAGGTTGAGAACACTGGCCTACAGTCATGATTCAGACATGAGAAAAGCAATAGAAAAACCAACATGGCTGGCTGGAGAATTCTGGGAGTTGAAGTCCACACATCTTAAAGTTGCCAAGGTTGAGAACACTGGCCTACAGTCATGATTCAGACATGAGAAAAGCAATAGAAAACTAAAAGAAGCTAGGATTAAATGGTAAGCACTGATGAAGGTTGCAGTGAAGTCTGTTTATTTTATTTATTTGTTTGTTTGTTTAATCTATTTATATAGCCACCCATCTCTCCACAGATGACTCTGGGTGGCTTACAACAAAGCTAAAAACAGTAAAATACATTAAAAATATATAAGACAAAATAAAACAGAGAATAAAAGGAAGTTAAAAACAAGGGAGCCACCCTTACTTAATAGATTTCATGCAGTAAAACATTTAATTTTATTTATTTCTCCTCTTTTCTTGGAAGGACCTGCCCTCAACAGGAGCCTGTTAGCTACCTAATAATTAGAAGCAAAATAATGGCATAGCAATGGCCAGGGAAAAAAAATGAACTGAAGTCCCAGGCTTGGATGTGATTGCATTTTCACAGTTAATATATGGAAAACTGAGTTCTGAAGAACTTGCATACAAGGAGATGTTCATGAGGACCATCAGAGGTGGAAAAAGATGAATCCCACTCCTGACAATATCTTCAGTACAGGAGTGGTAAAGAGCTGTTAATATAATCCGCTTGAGCCAGTCTCAGATGCCTCTATGAAGTAGATTTTTGGAGGTCTGCCTAAAATGAACTACAGTTTTTTTCAGAAATCTGTGCTTGACTCAACTTTCATAATTTGTTATTGCTGTTGAATGTTCTAGCTTTAGTTAACAAGTTCCCCAAAGAGTCTTGTTTTTGCACCAGTGTCTCTTCCTTGGGGTGCCACAATCTAGATATTATCCCTGCCTCCTTACCACATGTGCACATCTGCTTTGAGAAAGAAAATGCTCCCCCCTGAAGCCTGAGTCCTTGTTTGAAACTGAAGAAGTTATAAAGAATCTCTTCCCCATCAAAAGAACTGGACCTCAGTGGAGAGATCAAAGCTTTCTGCCAGAGGTACAGTATAACATTTGGTGATTTTTTTATGGACACAAGACAGTGAACTTTTTATTCAAGAGTTTTCTCTTTCTCTCTCTACATCGAAAAAGCACAGAACTGCACTTCATCCTCCCACACTATTTCTACCGCAATGCATCCTCAGCCTGTTGTATTTGAGTGAAACATAGGATCAAAGTAATTCCTTGTTCAGCCTTTCTCCCCCCTCCAATTACCTCCATCCAAACTGTCTTTTTGCAAGATGGGATAGTCTTACAGAGGTGGTATATGTAGGTGTTATGGGAGAAGGTGATTTAGCAATGAAAACATATTGTTATGGAGGGGGTTAAGTTCTTCCATTTAGACTCCTTGGCTAAATAGCACAGGAGGGAAGGGCTGATCCTCAGCCAGGGAGAAGAGGGTGGAGATGCTGAAAGTCACAATGGAACTCCTTGGCCGTCTTCAGACAGTGCTGGGAAAAATGCTTGTCAGAACATAGACAACCCCTCCATGTCCAGTCAGGGTATTGAAGACCGGGTAAGATGGATAAATGCTTTGCCTCAGTAGAAAGCACTCAGTATGATCATTTACATACTCTACTCTTACAAAGTACTTTCTACACAATGAGACCTCAGTATATTGCATCTGAATGAAACATAGGATGATGATGTTGCATGGTTCCTCTATCCGCCATTCTTGTTCAAATTATCCTCACCAAACTGCCTTTTTGCAAGCTGGGTGATATATACAGGAATGGTATATGGAGGTGTTGGTGAGAAAGCAGTCCAGAGAAAGAGGTGGAAAAGGACCATTATGGATAGAGTTCGGTTTGTACTACAGTAGCTAAATAGTGCAGGAGACAATCACAGAATCCGGAGAAAGGCTGTTGCTTAGTGGAAGAGAACTGCTTTGCATAGAGAATTCCCCAAACCCAATCCTTAGTCATCAACAAAGAGCCCCGGTGCTGCTGCAGGATGGATGAGATGAATGAGGGACCTGTGGCAGTAGACCTTGCTATGTTCCCAACGCTATCAAATGGGCCATTTCAGCCTGAGTAGTTATCACTTCACAGGAAGAAGGAACTGTCTTACTGGCAAGGAACAATGAAGTAATTTCCTTTGCAACATCCTGTATCATCACAATTAGCAATTTTATATATATATAAGCACACTCTGAAATTGATCAGCTTCCTCAGTCAGGCAAGTCCTGGTTCAGGAAGGCCACTATCCACTGCCACTTTTCATTCATTTCATGGCCAGCCATCTCTAAATTAGGCCTCCAGAGTGAATAGAAGAAATTAGGAGGTTTTTTGCCTGAGTATCCATGACTTTAGAATGGATTACCTTGAACATCATTTCCAATTTGAAATGTCATTCCTCCATACTGGAGAAGCCACATGAAACTCTTTGCTGTCTTTTTGTTTTGTTTTTAACTGTCCTAAATAATTAAGTGGCATTTGCTATTTAGCTACCTCATTCACAACAACACATACCTAGCCATAAATAAAGCATCATAACACCGACCCATTTCAGTGAGTCTAAGAGTAATTGCCATAGAACACCAAATGCCCAATATCAATCTTCTTCATTATAAGTTTCTGTTCTGTGAAGGAATTTGAAGAAATTTATGCAGGCCTTGACCATTGCCAGCAGTACACTGAAGTAAATATGCCCCCCATGCTCCATTTTTGGAATGCAAATCAAAATAATTCAGATGTCTTTCCCTTTATGTCTAGGTGAAATACAAACCAGATATGTAAATAAAAATGCATTTTTATCCATCTGGTCCATATTTTCAGCTGACTTATGGAAAAGAATCAGGAGAACCAAACCAACTTTGGTGGATTTGTCCTCCTGGGTTTTTCTTCCTCTCCAGAGTTTCAAGGACTTCTTTTTCCTGTTTTCCTTTGTATGTACCTGCTTTGCCTGCTAGGAAACCTCTTGATAATCTTGCTGATCTTCTCCAATGCCAGCCTCCTCCATGCTCCCATGTATTTCTTCCTCTGTCACTTGTCATTGGCTGATCTTGGGTTGAGTTCCACCATTATACCTAAAATGCTGCAGAACCTGCTGTCCCACACAAACTTCATATCCTTCAGTGGTTGCCTGACCCAGGTGTATTTCTTTGTAAGTTTCTGTGCAACAGAGAACTTTCTCCTGGCCTCCATGGCGTATGACCGGTATGTAGCCATCTGCCGCCCCTTGTATTATACCAGAATTATGAGCTACAAATGTTGCTTATGTTTGGCTGTTGCTTCTTGGCTCCTGGCTTACGTCCACTCTCTACTGTATGCTCTTTCTATGTATAATTTTACTTTTTGTGCTTCCCGAGAGATTCCCCATTTCTTCTGTGACCTCCATCCTTTATTGAAGCTCTCCTGCTCTGACACCGCATCTGTTGAAATGTTGCTTGTCAGTGAAGGCACTGCAGTTCTTCTTGGACCCCTTTGTCTGATTCTCTTTTCCTACCTTTTCATTCTATTCAAAGTTTTCAAAATACCATCAGGTCTCAGGAAATACAAGGCCTTCTCCACCTGCAGTTCCCATCTCACTACTGTTGCTTTGTTCTATGGGACTCTGTTAGGCATCTATATCCGTCCATCCTCCACCTATTCGGGGTCTAAGTTGAAAATTGCATCAATATTATACACAATGGTGACTCCCATGCTCAATCCTTTTGTATACAGCCTGAGGAACAGCAAGATGCATGAGGCTATGAAAAAAATAGTAAGTGGTTGGTTTCAGAAGAGGTGAGCTGTAATGAAACTGAGGTTGCTGCAAAAAAAACTACAAATCAGTTGGAAAACTGGTAAGCATAGCATTTGGAAAAAAGATGAGAAGTTTCATGTAGTGTTCGTTGTTCCAGACTGAAAATAGAAGCCCTATAAAATCACAAAAGGGCAAGATTCTCTAAGAAGGTCAACTGTTGGTTATACACACCATATATTACGTCTTTCATTCTGATGTGGAAAAGTGAATTCTGATTGTGACTCTGAAAGACGACATTTTTATGCTATTAATGTTACTGTGAGGTATACTATTCCACTATCTAAAATTTAACATTAGTCTAAAGACTATTCCATTAGTCTTTAGACTTACGTTGGTAATCTCAGTATATCCTGTATAACCTCTAAATTTCCCAAATTCCAGAATGTTCACATTTTACAGTTTGGCTTTCAGTGTCTGTGACTGAGTGAAATAACAAGCATGAATTATTTTATAGCTTGGGATTAGTGTATTTACAGCTTTACACCTAATATGTATGTTTCTACCCTCCCATCAAGCAAAATTTTTCTTGCATGCGGATGAGAAATGCTAAGGTGTATCATGAAGATATGGGTCTTACGAAGGCTGATTTCCAGGTCACCAAGTCCTGGAAATGCTTCTCTGCCAGATCCCCTGTTTCCCAAATTGAACCTTTTAAACTCCCTTTCAATCTTTCAGATCTGTCTACCAGTGGCAAAGACTGATCAACTTTGACAGGAGGCCTTGCTACATTTTGTGATGTATGCCAACATTTTCTGCTTTGTGTCTAATAAATGCTTTCATTTCTTCTCACAACAATGCATAAATATAGCTGTTCTAAATATAGCTGTTCTAGGAGGTACTCTTGCCTCCTATTTTCTCCGTAGCAACCTGATGAGGGGGGATGTCTTGAGAGAGAGGGACTGGCCCACCCAGCTGGCCTTCGTGTCCATGGCAGGCCTGGAACTCACCATCTCCCTGTTTCTAGGCCAGAACTTTAACCACTGCACCAACCTGGCTCTCTTTATCATGAATGGGGGGAAATTCCATTACAGGAGGTTCAGGCACAGTAAGGGTTAAAGGAAATCCAGGCCTATCAATCTAGGTAAATGGGCAGAGACATTGGAAGTCTGGGAAAATCCATCTCATACTCAAACTAATCAGGAGAGGAAGGTTCCCCTCCCAGATGGGCTTTAAAGAAGAGAAAGGTGCAGCTCCAGTTTCCTTTTATTTTATCTTTTCCTGTCAGATCATGGCCAGCTAAAAGCTAAGTAAGAAAAGAAGGCCCATCTCATGGTTATCCAGGCTAGAGAGCAGGGAATTATATAACAGTTTAGGGACTAGTGGAGCCAGATGCAGTATTAGTTGAATTGGATTGTAGAACACTGCAATGTGTATGTTGTGAAACATCCTAGGCTAAGGGGGTCAGCTGGCTGAAATCCACCTCTTCGTGTTCACTTCTCCTTCCTCTTTTTCTGCCTGTCATTTTTCTTCAATTCTTGCATCTCAATAGGCATAATACAGACTTGATGAATCAATGAGGCTCATTGTAGGAGAAAGAACTAGCCATTAGAATATGTTTTCCCTTCTGGTGGGACTAATGAAGGAAGAAGGATCACCATTTGCCTCTTCTGGAGTAAACCAGGGCAGAGGGGGATTTCTCTGAAGTAAAATAGCTGATGTTGAGCATTACCAAATTCATTTTTCCCAGGAGTTGTGGAGAGATATATTAAGTTTGTGGGGAGTGAGTTGAGAGACTCAGTTGTGGGAGCCAGTGGGAACTAATCCACCACAATTCATGTGTGCTTGTGTGTGCACCCCATTACAGACTTCAAGTTTATTGTCCTGCTTTGCTTCCCAAATGATAGATAAGAGGCCCCTAAACATTCTATTCAGTGGAACAAGTTATAGCCTAAAAGAAATGTTACACTGAGGATGACCCTGTAAATGACCATCTTCATCTGGTAGTCCTTCTGCAACCATCTGGCAGGGGCAGGATGGGGATCGTGCATTCATCCTTACTTTGCTTGACTTCTCAGCGGCCTTTGACACCAACAACCATGGTATCCTTCTGGACTGGCTCCAGGGATTGGGGGTGGGCGGCATTGTATTGTGCTAGGTTCTCCTCCTTTCTCTGGGGTTGATACCAGTTGGTGGTGATTGGAGAGGAGAGATCCTGCCCTAAGCCCCTGCTTTGTGTGGTTCTGCAGGGTTAGGTACCCTTTCCTGTCCTTTTTAACATCTTCATGAAGCCTCTGGATGAGGTCATCCACCACCAAGGGATGCAGTATCACTAGTACACTGACGATACCCAGTTATATCTTTCTGCCCCTGGTGGATTAAGCAATGCTGTTGATGTCCTATCCCGGTGCCTGGAGACTGTGGGGGTCTGGATGGGGAACAGGCTTCTGCGCAACCCTGGCAGCGGCTCTGGGTTTTGGGGCCCTCTGGTTTAGGGACTATGCCAACTTTAGTACTGGATGGGGTTGCACTGCCCCAAACAGACCCGGTGTGCAATCTGGGGGTCCTCCTAGACTCATAACTCCTGCTTGAAGAGGAGGTGGCAGTCGTGGCTAGGAGGGCCTTTGCACAGCTTCATGTTGTGTGCCAGTTGCACCCATTCCTGGACAGGGAGGTTCTGCTAATGGTCACTCATGACCTGGTCACCTCCTGGATAGATTATTGCAACGGGGTTTACATGGGGCTGCCATTGAAGAGTATTCAGAAGCTTTAGCTGGTACAAAATGTGGTGGTGTGGGCAGTTATGTGTGCCTCTAGAATGGCACACATTATACTTCTGCTCTGCAAGCTGCATTGGTTGCCATTTTGCTTCTGGGTCCAATTCAAGGTGCTGGTTTTGACCTTTAAAGTCCTTCATGGCATGGGGCCAGGTTATTTGTGGGACCGCCTCCACCCAATTACATCCTATCTCATTAGGTCTGGCAGAAGGGATATGCTACAGGTCCCGTCTGCGAAGGAGTTACATCTGGCAGGACCCAGGAGATGGGCCTTTTCTGGTGTGGTACCCACCCCGTGGAACATCATTTTCCCCAAGGTGAGACTGACCCCATCTCTGACATCCTTCTGGAAGTCCCTTAAAACATGGTTGGGGATCTCAAGGAAGTGATGAATTAGCAAGATGGCTGTATTGCCTATAATAACTCTCTCTGCTACTCTATCACTCGTAATTCCGGTTGGTGGTCTTCCGTGTAGAATGTTTTTCTTTTTTAACTGTTAGTTTTTATGATGTGTTTTTATTGTATGCTGCCCAGAGTCATGTTCTGTGAGATGGGTGGCTATATAAATATGATAAAAAACAAACAAGGTTGGAAAATCTACTAATCAAAATCACAACACCTCTTATACATTTGGTATTACCATTGCCATACATCTCTGCCACCTAATTCAGAGGCACACTTTGTCATACTGTGTCCACCTACAATAATAAAGGAATTTGTGTCGCTTCCCATGAATAACATTGCTGATTTCTTTGGGGTTCACTGTGCAGGAAAAGCAGGGAGCAAAACCTGGAAGGAATTTTGACAACGCACCTACTTTGCCCATACAAGGTTGATCCATGGTCTTGTGAAGATAAAGCAGGAACCCTCTCAAAACTTGCTCCAAGCTTTCTTCACCACTTGCATAAGTGCACTGAGAGACTCAAACACAAAGGGGGTAGAGAAGCATATACATTTTTTAGGGGAAGGAGCAACCACTGTATCCCAAATAATGGACAAGTCAGTTATTTTGGGGTGCTGTCCAGATGAAACTTTTGTCCATTATATCCAGTCTGCTCAACCAACACCTGTTAAATCAAAACTCCTTAATATATTCCAGGAAGACCATAACATGAAGAGAGTTTTGCCTATTTAATGATATCAGTAAATTGCACTTTTAAAAATCCATACTTTGTGGTCAATCTAAGAAACTTCAGAAAAAAATGATCTTTAAAAAAAAATTAAATTAAATTCATTAATTTAAATTAAAGGCTGATTGGCTGAATGAAAAGCAAAAGATGAAACAAGATGAGTTCTTCAACATCTAGCTGATCATCTTCTGGCGGGACAAATATTTCCACTTCCATAAAGAAGAGATGAAAATTCTTCCTCTTGTTCTGGAATTCCAACTACACACAGATTGGACTAATGAAACTGAGATTCTGACCACAGAGCTTTGTCCTGAAGAATCTTGTTAGACTTCATTAAATCAGTTATACATGTGTCAACAGGCTTCCTATGATCTTCCTCTGGAATATGCCATTCTCAATCACATCTCTTCTGGTATTTATGGAGTTAATATTAATGTAATATATTTTATATTCCTACTCATTTGTATATGGACAATTGTTACATCTGACTCAATCTCTGTGACTGTTGCTTAAGTAGAAAACTTTCTTGGGTGCTATTCAAGCAATCAATTCTCAATTTTTTTAAAAAAAATCACCTCTGGTTGTACTAGTAGCAATTAAACAGCTACAAGGATAGGAAAACTACAAGGAGTGCCTGAGTACGTCAATGCCCATCTGACTGTTGCATTATCTTGATTGGAAGGGGTGGATGTCTCCTAAATGCTCTGCCGTACCGTGGAAAGCCACCACTGAAATTATAATTCATGGTGTTTACACAGGATTTAGCAATTTTCACTTATGGTACCATTATTTGCACTAAAGAAAATGAACCGAGGGGTTGGGATTGGACCTAACTGCATTTATTAGTTCAGAGTGATTGTCATTAAAAGGAAAACTGAGCTCTATAGAGGCAGCATATGGGTGAATGAATGAATGAATGAATGAATGAATGAATGAATGAATGAATCCTTCTCCCAACAATATCTCCAACACAGGAGAAATAAAAAAATCGTTAATATAATACATGAACTAATGTAATGTGCTTATTTATTTATACATACATACATACATACATACCATTTATATATCCGGCCATCTCACACAAGTAACTCTGGGCGGCTTACAAGATTAAAAACCCCCCCCCCCCAACAAATCATGAAGCATTATGAAGTAGATCTCCACCAAACTGCTGGAGATATTAAGTATGTTTTTCTTTTGGCCAAATTTGTCTCAGAAATCTGTGCTTGATATCAACTATGCAATCTTACATCACCAATTCCAGTCCAATTCCAATCTTACATCACCAAAACGAATTCCTTCTAACTTTGGTTAACAAGTTCCCTAAAGAGTCACTTTAGATACTATTGTCTTTTCTTTTGGGAGCAAGTCTATAAATCACCTCCACCTCTTTATGCCATCCATCCTGATTTCTTTTACTGCCTGGGTATATCTGCTTGGGAAGAAAAATGCTCCACTCTGAAACCCGAGTGTTTGTTCTTAATTGGGAAGGTATATAGGAACCTCTCCTCTGACAAGGAATCAGTTCTCAGTGGAGATCCAGCAGAGGTACAGTATAGCCTGAGCATTTCATTCAAGATGGTCTCTTCTCTGACTGTACTTTCCCTGTACTTACAGGAAACGCTGCACTTCCCTCTTCCACACCTTTTCTATCCCTGTGCATAGGACAAAGATATTCTTCATTCAGACTCCCCCCCCCCAAAATTATCCCATCCAAACTGCCTGTTTGCCAACTGGTGAATACATACAGGTGTGATATATGGAGGTGTTGGTGAGAAAGCAGCCTGGAGAAGGAGATTTTGAATTGGAAAGGGACTGTTATCCCTTTACTCATGGTGTAGACACAGGGGGAAAATAGCCTGGGAAAGAATCACAGAATCCAGAGAAAGGCTTTTCCTTAGTGGAAGAGAACCACTTTGTGTACTGAATGCCCAAACACAGTCCTTGGCCCTCCAAAAAACCTGTGTCTGTGCCCCATGCTGCTGGCAGTCTGTATAAACAGTGGGATGAATGAAGGCAGCTTGCTATGTTCCCAGTGCTGCAGAATAGGGCATTTCAGTCAGATTACATATCCCTTTGCAGAAGAATGGGAAAAAAAAAATATTGGCAGAGGAACTCTGAAATCATCCTGTGTCTTAACTCATCATCCCAATGAAAAGGTATCTTTTTTTTTTTTTACATATGGAATCATATCATTCGAGGCTTTGAAACTGATCAGTTTGCTCAGTGAGGTAGATCTTGTTTAAGGGGAAAATGCCATACTGTCAGCTCAACAAAGTAGATCAGACTAAGAAACCAATGCAATAGAAGTCAGGACTACATTTATTGTAACCACTGTAGTAACAGAATCTTGCAAATCTGAATGTGCTTCCCCCTCCCTCACTTTATCTTTGTGTGAACTAGGGAGGAGCTTGTCTGAGATGTTTCTTCAGGATATTCTCTTGGCCCAGGCTCAAGTCCCGCTTATCTGACAATTGCCTTGGTAGCAGCTCTTCCTCCTGTCCTTCAAGGCCATTCCCTCTGCCCTCTACACCTACTGACACCACTCAATATTCCTTTCATGGTTCACTCTGAGAAGTGTGAGTTCAGTGACACTGGCTTTTCACTCCACATCCTGTTGGCCACAAGGGAGAGTGGGGCGTAAAAAGAAAGTTAAGAATGTACTTTGTCAACTTTATCTATCATTCTGCTTGCTCTTTGTTTAAAAGTTTGCTCATCTGAATTTACTTCCTTCTGCCTTAGTTTTCAGGCATGGGTGCGCAGCGTGCTTGCTCACTCTTTCTTTTCCTGATAAGAAGCAGTTGCTGAAGGTATTAGGTTTTGTTTCTCTATTGCTATCATCATTTCTTTAAATAAATTTCCTTTCTGTCTGTTGTAGCTATAAAACCTGCTGCCTCGCTAATCATGGCTCACATTAGATTCCTACTTTCAAGAACGCTCATACACACTACAAATACTTTCCCTCTAACCCAGACCACAGCAATGAATAGAAAAATTAGAAATGTTTTTCCCCCAGGTAAACATTATTAGAACTGATGATATTGAGTACCTTTTGAAGTGTGAAGGCCCATCCCTTCAGTGAACCCCTTTGCAGTCTCTTTTTGTTTAATCATCTCAGTAATTGAATGGCATCAGCTATTTAGCCACCTAACTAATAGGAACATGTGCTCAGCCATAAATAGAGCATTTTACCACCATACCATCATACAAAGCAACTTGTACAGCAAGTGGAACAGAGTACTAAGTGCCCTGTATCAATCTTCTGCCTTACTAATTCCTCTTGCTTTGAAGTGAATTTGGAAATATTTAGGCAGGCATATGAGGCATATGGATGTGGGTGGCTTTTTTGTTTTGTTTTTATTTCATTTTTGGAATACAAAAGATGGGGGGGGGTCAGATGATTTAAAGAATAGAAATCACCTGTAGCAACTTCTGTCATGCCATGAATTATTTTTTTCAAGTACTTCATGTTCCATGTACATCCTCTTTTTTGTGTCTAGGTGAAATGTAGGCCAAATACATGAATAATAATGCACTGATTTACATTTTCAGATGATTCATGGAAAAAGAACAGGAGAACCAAACCAACTTTGCAGGATTCATCCTCCTGGGTTTTTCTTCCTCTCCAGAGTTTCAAGGACTTCTTTTTCCTGTTTTCCTTTGTATGTACCTGCTTTGTCTCCTAGGAAACCTCTTGATAATCTTGCTGATCTTCTCCAACACCAGCCTCCTCCATGTTCCCATGTATTTCTTCCTCTGTCACTTGTCATTGGCCGATCTTGGATTGAGTTCCACCATTGTACCTAAAATGCTGCAGAATCTGCTGTCCCACACAAACACCATATCCTACAGTGGTTGCCTGACCCAGGTGTATTTCTTTGTGATCTTCATTGCAACAGATAACTTTCTCCTGGCCTCCATGGCATATGACCGCTATGTAGCCATCTGTCATCCACTGCGTTATACAACGGTCATGAGCTATAGATGTTGCATACAACTGGCTGCTGCATGTTGGTTCCTGGCTCATGTTCACTCCCTCTTGTATGTTCTTTCAGTATCTGATTTTACTTTCTGTGCTTCCCGGGAAATCCCCCATTTTTTCTGTGACTTTCACCCTTTACTGAAGCTCTCCTGCTCTGACACCTCATCTGCTGAAGTGCTGCTTGTCAGTGAAGGCACCGCAATTCTTCTTGGACCCCTTTTTCTGATTCTCTTTTCCTACCTTTTCATTCTATTCAAAGTTTTCAAAATACCATCAGGTCTCAGGAAATACAAGGCCTTCTCCACCTGCAGTTCCCATCTCACTACTGTTGCTTTGTTCTATGGGACTCTGTTAGGCATCTACATCCGTCCATCCTCCACCTATTCGGGGTCTAAGTTGAAAATTGCATCAATATTATACACAATGGTGACTCCCATGCTCAATCCTTTCATATACAGCCTGAGGAACAGCAAGATGCATGAGGCTATGAAAAAAATAGTAAGTGGTTGGTTTCAGAAGAGGTGAGCTGTTGAGGAATTGAGGTTGCTTCAAAAGAAAGTGTGAGTAATGAGCACACATAGCTTGCAACAGAAAGATGAGAAGTTTCATGAAGTCTTTGTTGTATTCCGGACAAGTTCGTTTCAATTTTCCACCTTTTTTGCTGACAATCACATAAGTGCAAGACTCTGTAAGAAGCCCCACAGTTGGTAATGAACACCGTATATTACATATTTCATTGTGATAAGAAAAAATGAATTCTGACTGTGACTCTGAAAGATAAAACCTTTATGCTTTCAATATTATTATGAGGTATACTATTCCACTATCTACCACGTTAGGGATAGATCATCATGGAGAAAATCTATCTATGTGGTCACTAGGAGTCGAAAATGACTTGATGGCATATAATCAGTCAGTCAATCAATCAATCCATTCCACAATTTAAAATTAAGCTTTATTTTTTTTCTCATTTGGACAATTTGAAGCTAAATGTTTCTGTGTAAGTGTTCTGACTTTTAATAGATGGTGGTTTCTTCGGGCCATCAGAATTTGTGATTCCGCAGAAGGCAGAAGAAATTTTGTAGTTTGCATCTTCCCAAAGAATTAACAACAACCCTCTTAGTTTTGGACAGCCTCATACAAGTTTAAAAATTCAATAACAAGTTTTGAAGGCTGGTAGTTATCTCATCGTGTTTCTGCAAACAGCTCAAAAGCCCCAAGATCTCCACAATTTTCTCATTATAAAAATTGGCTTAAAATTTCATGGCTGAATTAAATGGTGAGTATGAATCATTAAAGAACCTGGGAGTAATATTTTTACACATGTGCCAGTATGAATCTATTGTTCTGCTGTAATTTGTTTTATTTCTTCTTGTCCTTTGGCATGTTTTCTATTATGTAGAAGTATGAAATATGAGGTAAGCAGCTCGTTCCTAGTGAAAAGGCGTAGCTCCCTTGTAGGATGAGTTCCAGATCACAGGAAGTGGTTTTCTCTTCCTAAATCAAACTTCCATGCAGGCTTTCAGATCTGTCTCCCAGTATCATCCCAGATTAATGTACTTTTGAAAGATATTTCTGGTGCTGGATCTTTTTCTTTTTTTCTTTTTTTCCTAATTAATGCTGTTATTTCTTCTCGTAACAACATACTGTGACAGTATGGGTGTTCCAAACATGGTAGGGAGAGAGAAAGAGCTCTTAATTCATAACTGTTGTTGGAATGTGTCAAAGTCAGCACAGAACAGCAGCTGAGCTTTTCACTTCTGTAGTACATGCTGAAGTGTTGAAGGCATTTGTTAAATGCGACAATCTCCTGTCTGCTGCCTTTCTTCAGAGCTGAACTGAGTTGTGGTACATTCTGCTTTATATGTGTGTGTGTGTGTGTGTGTGTGTGTGTGTGTGTGTAGCAAGACATGCAGCTGGCTGAAATCAATCTCTTCAGAAGTAAATAATGTTTTTCTTCCATTTTTCCTTTCTTCTTTTGTGTTTGTCAGTTCCTTCAAGTTGTTGTGGTTGTTGCTTTAGATCTTTTTATCCCACCTTTATT